CAATATTCAATTAAAATTTTGAATGTGGCTTTGTAGTTGACCTAGAAGAATCTAAAAAATACTTTTAAAAACAGCAGATTAGTAAGAAAACTCTCAATTTCATAACAGTGTCACATCCCCGTGCACAATACAGATATACAGAAAAACTATCTGTAGGAAATAAGAAAAACTTTCCTTTAAAACTTTAAAATCAGGAAAAAAATAAAAATGTCCACTCTTTTCACCCTTATTCAATATTATTTTGATGATCCTTTCCAGGGCAAATAGCAGGATAAAAGAAACAGGTACTATAAGTTAAAAAGTGAGAAAATTTGGGCTATCATTTTTCATGTTTGATTAAATCGATATAACATAACTCCCAATCTGAGAGACGTCAGGTGTGTCAAATTTATGTTCACTGAAATGGAAGAATAAATTCCAAAGGAAAAAGGAGGTTAAGGGTAGGAAGAATTTATTGAGAGATAGTTCCTAAGAGAGAGGATGTGTTCTAGAAGAAGGCTGTCACCAAGACCCTTTGTTATGGGTAATTTGTACAGTAAATTATACATCCACATTGCAGATGCAATGTGAATCACACTATAATCAACCAATAGATTACAATTACAGCTTCTTAGCTTACATTGGTACAACAAAGAAGCAGGCCAAATAGCAGGGGTACATGGAAAGGACAAAAGTATTTTCAGGTAGGGACTGGTCCAGGTGCTCTGTCCCCACCTGAGCAACTGATGACTATTTGGTCTTCCTGGACCAGGTTGTACTAATTATTGCATACAGTAATTCCAAATTATTGCTTATCCCCTAGGGAGGCATGTAGGTCTGGCCATTGAATCTTTATCTTGAGGCTCAGTCTTTTTCAGAGATGTGCCTGTAATTGCAAATGTGACTTCTTTATGTTTCTGCTGATTTCCTTGAGAGCCTAGTCTCCCTCTGACTATATATTAATTTCTATTTAACTTAGTTGCCTATAATAATATGAATAGGAAATGATCTACTCATTACGATAGTATAGCTAATTCAATACAAAGATCAACATACAAATATCATATTTCTATATAACAAGTTAGAAAAAATATTTGAAAAGATAGTAATCAAAATAGCATAAAGTATAAAGCACTTATGTGCAGGTAAAAAGTGAAGGTTAAAATTTAGGGCAAAATCATACAGACTCTGTCAGGATTTGAATGTTTAAACTGCTGGGCAAAAGCACACAGGATCTGTGATAAATGAATGTTACACAAGAAGTTTAGATCAGTGAAGCATGTTGTGTCTGGCTATTGTCCTCTCCTTTACCCAAGAAAACTGCTCAGCCTTGAGAGAGCTCCTGGCCCAAACTGTTTCTCTTCTGTTTTTTTCACTCATACTGACATTCTTTTTTCTTTTTTTCCATAATTTTATTGAGAAACAAATAGCAATGAGACAGTTTCAAACCAAACTGGTAGGACAGTTTCAATAATTAACACATTGCATACATTTCTTCCTAATGGTTAATTGCTGTACAAGATGCGGACATGATATCCTATTTACAAACACCATTAGAACAAATCACTCTATTCATTAAGAGAATGTAACTATGTATCTATCCTAACTACTTTGAATACACAGATACAAAATGGACATTCATCTGTATACCCTTTTTTTGTTAAGTTCCGTTATTTGAATATTATAGGTGTGTAAACTCAGAAAAATATTCTAAAAAAGTCCAGTAGCCCATAATAGTATTGGGTCTTCCACTTCACTGGCAATGTCAGAAATTGTTGACCTGAGTCCACTAGAGCTCAACATAACAGCATGGCTTTACTTCTTATATTTCGTTTTTATGCTTTTCTGCTGGATGGTTAAGACCAAAGTAAAGCAGGACCTATGCAACAAGAGTTGTAGCTTTTGGGTCTGATAAGGTCGGTGAAATCCCCTCAGGATTTATCCTGAGATCCTGTACCTCAGAGTGTAGAACCTTTGTCACACATTGACATTCTAAATAAAAGCTGGATAGCTTACAGCTTCCAGGCTTCTCCTGGATGTCTTCCTAATGCTAAGTAGTCTTGGTTGAGATAGTCCCTCTGGGCCTCTTGTGACTGAACTAAGTCTTGTCTCTGAGTAAACATTCACCCCCTATGCCACTATGGCCACACACTGTGACATCTCAAATAGACAAAAACAAGTAAGAGTTTTATGAAAAAAATTAATTTTATTGTCAGCTGTTGAAATACCAGAGGTTAAATAAGCATTTAAAAACTGAAGTCATTTAAAATTCACTGACAATGGGGCTGGGGAGATGGCTCAGTAGGATAAGCGCTTGACTGGCAACACAAGGATCTGAGTTCAATCCCTGGTTCCACCAAAAAATAAAAATAAAGAATAAAATTCACTGAAAGAAAAGATGTATTTTAGTATCTTGGATGTCAAATCTCTCTAATTTAATGTATAGATTCATAGCAATTATAAATGTGACAGGCTAACTTTAATATTTACAAGAAAGTGTAAAGAAATGACCATAAATAAATTCTTGTAAAGAACAAGGTAATTTGACTTATCCTGAAAAATATCATCATCAGCACTTACTCTAAATCTGTAATCTGACTAAAAGACAAGGCCAGTGAACAGAACAGAAGATACAAAAACAATTCTTAATGTCATAACATTTTCCAGGAACAGCATATAAAACATACATCCCAGAGGTCCTATTTTAGAAGATACTGTAGAAAGTTAGATAATATGAGAAGTAAAATGACATAACTCAGGAACTGATAAAACTGTGGGCCAAAAACGCCCTGCTGCCTGCTTTTGTAAAAAAAAAAAATTATTGCAACACAGCCATGTTCTATCATTTACATATTGTCTACAGCTATTTTCATGCTACAGAAATAGTTGTCAAAGAGAATGAAAGGCCTGTGCAGCATACAATATTTATCTGGCCCTTTCAAGTAGGTATTTACTGATACCTGGAATAAGTGAGTGGGGATGAAATTAAGTGACATCATAAAGTACTGTGGACACCAGATGTCTATGTGAGGCATCTCTGTTTTCCTCTGGATAAGAAACAGTATCACATTTTAGGAGGGTTTTGCTCATCTCAATTTGTCCTGATGATAACGCTCAAAAGTCAGGATAGCAAGGTCCCATCTCTTAAGAACTCATTTTTACAGAAGGGAGACAGGTAAAGATGAGTTATTCTAGATCTAATAACTAATGGGATAAGGGGAAATAGCTGTAAATGGTAAAAATTTCAGAAAAAACTAAAGCAGTCACTGTCCATGACTTCTGCTATTTTTGCTGCCTGATTCTACCTCTTTTCACGCATATTCAACACTTCATTTAACCCTTACATCTACTCTAACACCTGTCCAAAAAATTTCTTGTTTTAGACAACTGGTGTCAGTTTCTTTTCCTACACACACACACACACACACACACACACACACACACACACAAAAAAAAAAAAAAAAAAAAAAAACAAAAAAACCCGAAACCCTTACCTAATTCACAGAAAAACTGAGTAACAGTTGGCAGGCAAGAAAAGGCATCAAATTTTACTCTTGATAATTAGACTTGGTTGTTTATAAGAATAAAACTATTAAGATAACCCAACTTTGGCAGAAAATGGTAACTGTGTTACTAGAAGTTGCAAATGTAACACATGCTGTAGCTGTTAGTCTGTCCCCACCACACCATGCACCAAGTCCCATTTTGAATTTTCCCTGAAAACAGGTTGCCTCTCAGATTTCTCGGTCACTAACATGTATGGATACAACATTGTTAACTGTCCTTCTGTACTTGTCCTTCACATTTCCAGAGATAGGAGAAATGCTACAGGTCATTTCCAATGACAGGAGACACCTTCACTGAACACGATTCACATATGAAAAGAATTAGAAACACGGTCACTAAGCTGTAGTGTATTTTAGAATATCGAAAGGTTAAGTAAAGAATGAGACAGGAATGATGTGCTGGGCCTGAGACTGGAGTTGGTAGTACAGTACAGCCCATGAAATGAACACCAAATTTTCTCTGGATTGAACAAGAACACTAAGATGTCACCTGGACCAAGTAATGAATAAACGTAAGAAAAAAATCACTCTTCCCTCCCAAAATTAGAGGGGAAAACCCCCAAAGAACTAATACAGAGAAAAATAAAACAGTAACTGTTACAACTTTAAGTCATGTAATAGGCTCCAAGTGTCTTCAGAGTGCCTCTAATAGTGTAGGATTAAAATGTTACAAAATTCTCACACTTAACCAGACTACTTGAACCTTCAATATGATAATTTATCCTTTTATTTATGCTTTTATGCTATGACAATTTGCTTTTTAGATTTTTTATGTGCTGATTTCTATTCTCAATATGAATGATACATAAGGGAAACTATTCCTAAATTGTACATATGTGACAGTCTTCCTCTTGTATTTGGGATACATTTAGAATTACTGTGTTTCTAACTGATTAAACTGTACATATGATACTATTTCTTCTTCCTTTTTTATTAAGGAAGAAATATCAAGCAATTATAATTATTGGGTTCAAGAGTATTTTCCTTCATGCATATATCTTGTTTTACACTGGCTAATATAAATTCACTTCTGTTTGGCCTTCTTGTCCATAAATTTGTAAGATGAAAATGTCAGGAAGAGAAAACACAAAAGGAAAGAAGTTTTCCTTTAATCTTGGCATTTCTATTCATTCTACTTAGTGTAGTGAACTGGGACATGTACATTCCTTACAATCAGATAATACTGCACTATAAAAATATTTAAAAGATATTTGAAAAATCTAATTTAATGATAATTTATTAAAGGTAACTATCTGGCTTAGAAATGTCTTTCAGATATTTTATTTTGATAGCTAAAACAGTAAACTGGAAGATAAATTTTATTTTTTAAAGTATCAGCTATAAATTAGTGATATTGACTACATAAAACACTTAAATATTACTTTAATTCCTATCCTAAAATAATGTACTTTGTTAAATATTACATGCCATTTCATACAATAAAATTTTACCAACCTCTGTATCCTTCAACCTTTGTAATTCATTTTCCATGGCTGTTTTCTCCTCTAACAACACTTCTAAATCACTTTCCATCTGTTTGCATTTCTAAAAGGAAATGTATAAGTTTAGTAATAATGAAGAGCAATCATAACATACACAGGTTATTTGTATACTTAATTATTAAAGTAAACCTCTATTAACTCATGAAAATAATCATTATAATAAAACTATTACTGGGGCTGATAGAGGTCAAGAAACTAGAATCTGTAATGAATGTAGCTATTCAGAGAACTGCAGGGTATGATAGACTAGTATTTGAGAAGTACTAATTCCTGAGTAAGGATAAGGTCCAGGGAAATAAAAAGAATAAACAAAGCTTCCTAGCTCACATATTCTGAAATCTCTTGTGTAGACTAAGTAACAATAGCTTTCAATTTGGGATTATGTATGCTGGAAATTTCTAGAGTCTATTAAAAATTCAAAAAAGTACAGTTTTAAATTGAGAGTGCTATACTTACAGCCTCTAACAAATTTTGATCATTCTTAGCTCTGAAAAACAGATCAAAAATTTATTATAACTTTATGTTAATGTTTCATTCACACCACACACCTAAATATATTTATAAAGAGTTTCAAATAATAACATTTAGAGTATATTGTGACTACTACTCCAAAACTCCAGTGCTCTCCAGCCCCTAAATAATGATAATGTTAACATAAATATTCATGTCCAAGTTTTTGTGTGGATATAGGTTTTCATTGCTTTTAGGGATAAGCCTATAAGTTTTTTAAGTGCCGATTAACAGATGGAGGGATGAAAAATGTAAAGAAAACAATGAAATATTTTTCATCCTTAAGAAGGAAATCTTGTCATCACCACCACATAGTTGGACATTCTTGTAAGTGAAATATACCAGATACGAAAAGTCAATTAAAGCTCAATTACTTCATGATTTTACTTATGGAATGTTCTTTTATTTTGAGTTAATGTCTCACTGTCAAACTGGTGGAAACAGAAAGTAGAATAATGGCTAATATGGGAAGATGAGAAGAAGGATTGTTGGCCAAAAGGTATAAAGTGTGATTTAGAAGTGGCCAGAAGTTGTAGAGATCTCTTGTACAATGTGCTAACTACAGTCAAAAAAGATGTAGTGTAAACCTTAAAATTGCTAAGTAAGTAGTTTTTTAAAGTTCTCACCACCAAAAAAAAATTAAAATGTGATGTTGCTGAATATGTTGTATAACTTGTTTTGGCTATTCCACAATGTGTATATATATATGATACATCATATTATATACCATAAATAGACATAATTTTGTCCATTATATAATAAAAGAAAAGATTCAACATTTACTTTCGTTTTATTTATTATTATTATTTTGTATTTTAGGAAAGGGTCTACAGGGTGTTCAGGATCTCACTACTAGATCAGACTCATAATGCTTCTCCTGTTTACAGACTCCCAAGTGCTGGGATTACAAGTGTGCACCACCATGCCCAGTCTCGATAGCAGACTCAGTGTGCACTGAGGTTGGGGCCAGCATAGCAGGCCTGGGGATTGAACCCTTGGCCCCTGTGCCTGCTTGCAGGCACTTTAATCTGCTGAGTTATTTGGCCAGCCCTTACAACATTTACTTTTAAAAAGCATGTGAATTTACAACTGAATACTCTTCATTATATAAACCTGAAGCTCTGTATTCATTAAACAGTAATTCCAAATTTCCCCCTCCCTGAATACTCTGGCTATTGCTATTCTATTTTATGTCTCTATAAATTTGACTACTTCAGGTATGTAATGTAAGATAAATCATACATTGATTTGTCTCTTTGTGGCTATTTTGTTTTACTTGTAATGTTTTCAAGTTTTACCATTTTGTAGAATGTGTCAATATTTCCTTTAAGGCTGAATAATAATCCACTGTGACTACAGAACATGCGACATTTTGTTCATCAGTATCTTTTTGGACATCTAGGTTGCTTCCATCATTTATTTATGTATTTATTTATATGTATTTAGTATAGGGCCTACAGGGTCTCACTACACAGATTGGACCTAGTGATCCTCCTGTTTTCAGCCTTCCAAGAGCTGGGATATAAGCATGTGCTGCCACGCCCAGTCTCAGTTGCTATCTCAGCACACCCTGGGGCAGGGCCTGCACAGCATGCCAGGGATCAAACCTGGGGGCCTTGCACCTACCTAAGTAGGCATGTTAGTCTGCTGAGCTATCTGGCCAGCCCTGCTTCCATCTTTCAGCTGTTGCAAATAATGCTGCAGTAAACATGGGCATATAAATATGTCTTTGAGGTCTTGTTTTCAGTTTTTTGGTGTATACCCCGAAAAGGAATTTTTTTGTCTCACACAGCATTTCTATTTCTATTTCTTTAGAAACTATGTACTGCTATTCCATAGCAAAAAATTCACATTTCAATTTACATTCTGTATTTCCATAATTTTAAGTTTAATTACATATACAATGATAAAAATCAATGTAAAAACCCAATTTTTTAACAGAGACCTTATTTTGTTTGTGCCTGGAATATTTCCACTGTAAATATGTGTTGAATTTAGTAATTAGAATAGTTATTTTACAAACTCACCTCTCCAACTCATTTGCCTGTTTTTCAAATATTTTCAACATTTCATTCACTTGGCGAGCCATTGAGGAATCAGTTGCTATTACAAAAAATAAGGAAATTTAAGAGGAGTGAAAATGACTGAAGGTGTAGCTCAATGCTAATGTAATTCATTGATGTAAATGTGAAAACTAAGCAAAAAAGGAGATAGGAAGGCCACATGAGTAGTAAAGAACACTGTGTTTAGGAATGAGATGATTGTGATTTTAGTAAACACCCACTATAACAGTGCACCATGTTACTCTGCATTTGCTAAATCTTAAAGTAACTAAAAACCAAGGTACCACCACTATTCTCAAATTAAAAAATTCAGACTCAGGGAGTTAATTTGCACAAAACTTTATATCTAATGGTGATAAAATGTGACTTAGATCCAGGGTATGCAACTTATTATAGAGCATATGAGAGGATTTTGGGATGTTATGGAGAAAAGGCTTTGGTTGTTGCTGATAAAGGGCATAGGAAAATATCTCAGTAATCTATTAAGTTTTCCAACCATGTTAAATGACCTAAAAGGAATCTTACAAGATACTTAAAAGGGAAGCAATATAATTACAGGTTATGATAATCAACAAACTTTTAGAGCAATAACAAAAAATTTAAGCTATGTGCCATAAATACATGTCAGAAAACGGGCACTAAACAACAGTTATTTCTACTAAATAACAAGATATCTACAAAAGCATGCTGAGTAACATGGAAGCATGATATTTCCCACACAATAATTGTATTTATTCTATTCCACATGCTAAAATGGAGATAGAGAAAAGATAATAAATATTTACTAGCTAATATGGAGGATATAAGTAAGTTAAACCCATTAATTATAAAGAAAGACAAAAGACAAATGCCATGGGCAAAAGCAAAAACAGGCAAATGTATCAAGGGAGCTATATCAACTGATATCTTAAGAAACCAAGTAAACCATGAATTTTGCTTTGTGAAAATCAATAGTCAATACAAGCTCATGGCATATTGGGAGAAGCCTGCTTCAAAATAATTCAATTTAAAATTTACTGTAGACAAGAATAATTTCAAAGATATACTAAAAGTTATAAAATTTTAAAGCCCTTTTTATAAATAATTTTAATTGAACACATAAAATTGTAAGTGTCATCCTGTGTAATATGATGGCTTGAAGTACATATATTGTGGGATGTTAAATATAAATACCACCTCACACAGTTATCATTTTGGTGGCGAAAACAACTAATATCCATTCTCCTAGCGTTTCTCAAGAACACATATATTTTTTATTAACCTTGCTAAACAACATAGTATCTGAAACATATTCCAATAATATCCAATTTTATATCTTTTGACTACCACTGACATTTACCCAATGGCCCCCAGGAACCCAGCTTTTTACTTATTTTTTTAACAATTATGTAAGACCTTATTAACAGGTACTTGCAGTTTGTTGACGTTTTTGAAAAAAATCACGTTGTAAACTTTTATTAAAAATTAAAAAATAAAAATTAACAAATTAAAAATGAAGTTCACAGATAAGAAACAATTTAAAAACATTTAAAGGTGTATTGAGAAAAACCAGGTTTTTAAAAAAACCCTACATCTGTCATTAACAAAAAGGGATGTCTTTAGGCAAAAGTAACAAAAATCCCATGATGCATAGATAATGCAGATAGTTCTTGTTATCTGGTCAACCAGTAAAAAGCAAGCACTTAAGATCTTCAGTTCCAATCTTTCATTCATTTCTTATTGTTGGAATTTCCTATTTGTTTCTTTCTTGCTGGATGACTAAACAGGATGATGGTAGAGACATTAACTAAGCAGATGAATTTTTAGGTGGTAGATCTGCTGCTTTTGTCTCTTTGCCATGTTGTGGTTCAGGGTTTTCTGCGCGTCTGTGTCGGTAATTGAAATTTTGATGGTACTGATGTTGAGGTGGCTGCTGACCTTGGGTCTCACCTCCTGGATTTTCCTTATCCTCTTCATTGCCATCCTTAGTAAGGGCCCTGTGGAATTGCGGTCTGTAACCTTGATACATGTTCTATCTCATTGTCTACCTTGTTCTCCTGCACCTGGTTGTCAGCACCCTCCATCACTTCTCCTTGCACAGGAGGGTTGGAATATGGTGGTCGATGCCCATGGGGTCTCTGCATGTAGTAAGGTGGGAACATTAACTTGCTGTATGGCTGGTGTTGTTGGGTCTGGCCTTCGGGAGTGCTCTGCAATCCCTCACTCTTTTCCCCACTCTCACTATTCGGCTAATTCTGCTGGTAATTGCATGGAGGACCCCTATGACGTGGATAGCATCTGTAATGGTTACAGTCTGCTGCAGGTTTACTGCCTTAAACTGGAACTCCACCAGGGCCTGTAACATTTGTTCTCTTTTAACCACATCAAACTCCAGTTTCTTGGTCTTCTACAGTATGAAGGTCCTTCCTGGTGTTATTCTTTATGGCAGTCTGGTGTACAAATACATCTTCCTTGGTGTCATTTTTATTGATGAACCACATCCGTTTCTTACACTGAACCATTTTATGGTTCCTAAAACCTTCCTTGCAATGACCTTTCTGTCCTGCCCACTGGCGCCATCCATGTGAGACTGGGCCGCTACTCCCTGCACTGTTGTCTGTAGTGCCCGATTTGGTGATTTTCAAATATTGAGACTGGGAGTTACGGGGGCGGGCAGTGGTGGCTGCTGTGCCTCAGTCTCACTTTTCATGGTTGCGGGGATGGTTATTGGGGTTAGTTGCGACAGCTGTGGCTCCTCCAGGGAGTAATGGTAACCAGCCCTGCAGTAGTGGTGGGGCTATTCAGGGCTCTTGGGGTCTGCTCTCCACTCCTGCTGCCAATGGCACTAGGAACCCAGCTTCTGCTAACTGTGATTCTACTTTTTATTTCTATGGGGTCAAATCTTTCAGATTCCACATGAATGACATTTTATGGTTATACCTATATTATTTTACTTAATATAAAGTCTTTTAGGCTCATCCATGTTTTTTTGGGGGGGATTCTAGTTATTTTTATTTTAAAGAAAAAAAAATAAAAACAATGGTACAAAATCTCAAAACAAGATTTTAGGAGAGTAACAATGGTTAGTACATTGTGTATTGTTACTGCCAAAGTAGTTTCTTATATTACAAGATATAGGCAAGAAATAATAAGTAAACAACATAGGTACAAACCTCTGTTTTTTTTAAAGT